TCGGCATTTACAGCTACTACAGATTCGGAAGATAAATGGGACGAATACATTGATAAAATAGAATCTTCAATAAACAACAGCATCCATCAGATAACCGGAAAATCGCCCAATCAGCTTCTTATGGGTTATACACGAAGGAGTAAAAATGATAGCATGCTTACTGCCGAGCTAGATTTTTCTCCATTGGTTAGAGCCCTCAGGAACGAAGCTACTCAAAAAATTAAAATTGATCAAGTCAAACAGAAGGCAAGATTTGATAAGAAAAGGAAACCTGCTAGAAGCTATAAAATAGGCGATCTTATTCTCATCTTAACGAACAGAGATACTAAAGGTCAAAAAATATATTGGTCCTATGGTTATAACAAAAATCCTTCCAAACGATAGATATAGAGTGAAGGATATGCCGAATTCGAGACGTAGTACTGGGTGTTTGTTTATAACTGGAACACTCAGTAACTTTCTTATTACTGAAAATGATTAGCATGTTTTAGTTGGAAAATTTCTTGATAAATTGCAACCCTAATTGCTATAACGATATTTTTTGTCGTCATAGGTATACAGGGTATGCCAAAAGGGTATTTTTTTTTTAAATGGAACGCCCTATATATTTTTGTTATCCAGTAGTGTTTGATATTTTTGTGAAGCTAATTTTCTAAGAATTTTAAAAATGCAAAAATATACAGGACGTTCTAATTGAAAAAATTACTTTTTTGGCGCACCCTGTATACCTATGGCGACAAAAAAATATCGCTGTAGGGATTAAGATCGTTGCAATTTACCAAGAAATTTTCCAATTTAAACATGTCCTTTATTTTCAATAATAGAAAAGTTACTGAGTGTTCCAGTTATGAACAAACACCCTGTACTACCAAAAAGTACGATAATGTCATTGCAGTTGATCGCTTCAAGCCCCGGATACCTCCTGGAGGTGTTTCGGATGACACTTTGAGTGATTCTGATGGAGATGGCGACCTACCGCTTTCAGATTCATCTAAAAGTTGAGATGCGAGGACGCAACTTCTGTCAGGATGGGCCTAATGTAAAATAATATCCAATTAGCTTGTAATTATTCAATATATGGAACTGTCTAGAGTCCCGAACGCGGGATCGGTGGAAAAAAGCAAAATCCCGAAGAGGCGTGGCTTAATAACGGCGTTCGGGACTTTCCAAACATTATGCGCATCCCGACATCGGGACTGTTGCAACAGAAGTAAACTCCCGACTTTTAATTCTATAAGACAATCAATAGAAAAACAAGGAAGTAGCAGAAAACAAATATCGTGTATTTCTAGTAGGTTAACAAAATGGAAAAGAAACTTTGACATCTTATTTTGTAGATCTGTTAATAATTATTATTTTCTTAGAATTTTTCAACTGCTGATCTTGTTTATCATATTCCATGTGTATCTCATAAGTCTCGATAGGGGTACCTATCAAAAACAACTTGTTCATGATAAGGGATCATTTAATATTTTCATCTTATATCAGGTTTATTTTTAACTATCTTGTATAAATTAGGGGCATGATGCTTCGCGGATGTGATAGTTTTGCATCCCGTTTTCAAAATTGCACCCTAATTTCTTTCTCATAGATCAATAGCATCTTGTAATTCTTTATATGAACTATGAACCAATAAATGTGTCATTTTTGTTTAAACCCATAATAAAGGATACAAATTTTCAGTCAAAACTGCCCAAAACACAGCAGTTGGGTAATCTAACCTAGGTGTATAGAAAAAACAAATAATACTTAAAAAATTATTACAAATTCGGGAGTTAACTTTTGTTACCATGATCCCGAAGTCGGGATTAGAATAATTTTTGAAAAGTCCCGAACGCAGTTATTAAGCCACGCCTTTTCGGGATTTTCCGTTTTTCTAACGATCCCGCGTTCGGGACTCTAGACAGTTCCTTATTATATATACACCCAATCCAATCCATAATAAGAAAGAGAGATACTCTGTATGATAACTTGCCTATTATAAAATGGAGGGAAAGAAAGGTACCTACCTGACCTGGCAAAAAAGACGAGGGAATAGAGTTTATTGAGAAAGTGTGCTGAAAGGTTCTCTGTGTCCCTGTGACTAAGCGTTTGGGATATTGAAGATAAATTGACGTACGAGAGATAATAGAGTTGTACTGTTATAATGTAGTATTGATTTAATATTGTGCACATTTTATGTTGTTGATTTGTTTGAACTAGGCAACCTGCCTACAATTGTTGTAGGGGGACCTCCCCTCATTACTGAAGGTAATGTTGTGGCCTTATCTATGATTGTTGTAAGGAATTGGCGCCGTTCTTCAAGTTGTGGCTTGCGCTTGGGGTCTTCGCATGCGGCTTGATTGACACAATTTGGGTTTGAGTGTCTCAGAACTATTGTTACACTTTTACTCTGTTGTTGGAATGCTAACTGTTTAGCGACAGTTGGACGTTCGGGGAAGCCTCTACTTTTTTTAGGTGACACTAGCTAGTCGTCGAAGTTAGAAAAAAACAATAATATTCAGGTTTAATTATATTATATTATTTTCCATATTGAATGATGAGTTTGATGGTTTTTCTCTGTGTATTTGGAATTGATGTTCTAGAGCAAGGGGCGGCATCCCCCGGTGAGTCCTTTTTTAAATTTATTCGGCAAACAGATCAGTAATCGTATTTATGTTTGTTTCATGGAATATTGGCTACAAATAATTGGCTTGCAGAATGAATTGCTTTGTGAAGACCCACAGAAAGAGATCAGTAAGTTATTTATTTAGCGAATTTTACAGATCACCTTTTGAAAATTATAGTTTACAACAGGTCTGAAACACTTTAACAATCATCAAGAAATGATGAAATTTGCTATATTTTCCCCCATCAGGAAATTTTAATTTCATATTTTAATAAACGCTCTGACAACTGAAAATAATAAAGCTTGAAACATAAGAGGGTTGAAACAAGGTTTCAGCCTGCCGTTTATGTAAACACACTCACACACACAAGTTTTCCTAGACGGTCACGATTCTGTTTGGCGTTATCAAGCGCCGTTCCGTTCTCTCCTACCAACGTGAATAAAACATTCCATTAACTCAAAATATGGGCTGTCAAAAGATAAGCCTTACATGCCTCCGTAGAGTATGTTTTGAGGGAACAAACGTGCATTGTTTAGACGAATACCTTGTTGTTCATTTTGATGAGAGTTTTTAATTAAAACGGCATCAAAAGCGGAAGTTTAATGTTTTGATGGAGTTTTTGAATCGATGTTTGGCGAGTTTACAAACAAAAATACATTAAGAATCATTTTTATAAATGTAAATATTTGTTATACTTTTTAAAATAAAATACAATACAATAAAGGGAACACAATATGACAAAACGTTATTTAAAAGACAAACAAAAGCAGAATTCCTTTTGACGAAATAATTCGTCCACTTCAAGTTAGCCCGAGGCCCTCATCTCGTACCCTTTTTCCCATCATACGCAAACCGCAAACTCCCTGTTTACCTTTTAACAAAATGCTTTGGACATGTAACCTCAGAGTCTGTATGTCGCCATAGGGCTGTAGAGTTTACGTCATAATCAGTAGTTGCGGCATTCTAATATTCCTTCCGGGCACGAATATTGTCTGATAGTTACGGATAGAGAGCAAGTTTGCCGTTTGATCCGACTGAATTGGTTTCGAGTAAATAATTCGTCTTTGAGAGTTGTTATTGGATTTGGGCATGGATTAATAATTATTGGTAATTTGATTTGTGACTGGTTTGTTAATTAATCTTGCTCTATTTGAATCATTCACCTCTAAACAAGAATCTGTTATATCATGAAACATCAGCGGGTGAATTATTTGTCTAAGGGTTAAAAGAATAACGTGGCCATCTGTTTCATAAAATCATCAGAAACTGATGACACCAGATAAAAAACGTTGGCTTAAATTGCTTCATGTCGTAAATCAAGTTATCTAAGCCCTGAAGCTATCATGCAAGTCTATACATACAGGACCAGGCTATTAGATACATAGGCTTCAATAGGACCAATTGACATTTCATTGCGGGATCGTCATAATGGATCATTGTGCTTTTGCATTTGTGCTTCTTGGCCTAAACCAGGCTAATTCGTCTTATTACTCCCTATGTGTCTAGTAGGTTCGTTCTATCTGTATAAGGTTTAAAGGTAATGATATCTAGTTGTCACCAAGTACAACTAGTACTGAAATGATTCTGCTGGTGAAGTTGGTACGTCCAAGGAGAAAAAAATTAACTTTTGATTTTATATATCCATGATTATTCACACATTTCTTGAGGATTCATTCATTTTCTTCAGGCAATTATCGGAGAAAATTTCGATTAAGTAGGGATTTTACTTTCGTATTCATTCCTGAAAAGGTTGTGTTGCAGCGTTAGCCTTTCACAGCATTACCCATCAAACTAGCTATCCGTATCTGCCTCCACAACCAGCAACCCTGGAATGGACACAGCGGAGAGTATTTATACCGGTGCAGGAATGTGGTCGACCTAGCACCGTATTCCTTGTGTTGAATAGGCTCAATTGTTCGTAGAGTTTCCCTCTTCTTACGGAGGACGAAACGATTTTTCTGGCTCGGGAATTTTGCCCAGAATTCTGGAATCGTTTCTTCCCCTAACGTAAGATGGTAGACACGACTTGTTCGGTGGGTTGCACCAGCGAACCAGTCATCGTAACATGGGAAGGGGCAGTGGTGATCTCGTAATCCATACTTTGTATACAAAAAGAAATATGAATCTAAATACCTACCTACTTTGACCAAATCGCTTGAATTATTAGCGGCACTCTTCATTAAAAATCTCAATTGGTTTATTTTTTTGTGCCAAATTTCTTATGAGTTTTTTTTTTATCACTGACGTAGGTAATGGTTCTATAAACACTTAGGTCTTGGGAATTAGTTAATTGTTTACTTTGCGAAAAAAAACACTTGATAGATAAAATAAATAAATAAAAATTCAGTATAAATAGACGCACCTCTAACTCTAATCAGTAAAACTTCAACCATGAAACTGTTCATTGTTACATTTCTGGCTTCAATAGCCGCAATCCAGGCTTCACCTTTAAAAGCGAGCTGCACGGTGGCCTCCTACTCTGCACTAGCTGCAGCTCTTAAAAGTTGCAGCGCATTAGTAATCAAAGATTTAACCGTACCAGCTAAAACCACATTGCAACTAAATTTGAAGAATGGAGCTTCTTTGACTTTCGCTGGTACTATCCGTTGGAATTATACTGAATGGCAAGGACCTCTAATTGAAATTAAAGGCAGCAAGGTTACAGTTAATGGTGCTGTAGCCACTTTGGATGGACAAGGTAAGAATACTGGATTTAGATTAGTATTTTAGGATATTTTGTGAAAAGTTTGTTTGGTATATTATGAATAGGGGTTATGAATATTCCTACGATTTTTTTTATGAGCGACGTCGGATAGTCGAATAGTGACCTTAGTCAGATATAAGGTCGATGACATGTAATATTGACAATTGAGTTGAAGAGGGCGCTTCTGTACCTGGAGTTCTTTAAATTATGGCGCGTAAATAATCAAATGTAATTTTAACCTCAAAAGTCAAGTTTGATGTGTGGTTTCAAGACAAGTTAACGCTAACACTTTTGGAAATATGCTTTAAGGGCCACTGAACGTTTTGGAAGATATTTTTACTTATTCACTGTTCATTGTTCATATGTAGTCATATTTTCTTCTACTCATTAAAACGGTTTAAAACTATTGCCATTTACCGCCAATATTTAAAGCATTCCAAGTTCACTCGCGCCCTCTTCAAAATTTTGGGGAACTTAACTGGATATTTGCTGCCATTACTGGTGTGCAAATTCCCTGTAAGTGATTGACTCACTTACAAATAGGCGACATCTTCAATATTAATTCGTCTAAACAGTAATATACAGTGGACTAAATAATTTTCTTCAGATGCAAATAAAATTAGTATTTCACATTATTAGCTATGAAGAATAGTTTTTACTGGCGTTTGAAAGAAGAAATTTGCATATTGTTGTCGATAAAAATTGTTAATAATTTTACTAGTAAGGGCCAGTTTCACAAAGAGTGGTAACCCAACCGTAACCACAAGACAATGGTAACCTACAATAAATATCTGTTTCATAATGTGTGGTTTAGCCAAAACCATCATGGCCATTATCACTTAAGGAATATTTATTCTAAGTAGAGGTTTGAATGTGACTTTTGTTTCTACAAGAGTCACATTCAAGGCTCCACTTGAATTAAATATCCCTTAAGTTATAGCGATGCAAATGGCCGTTAGTTAAGCTTCAGATTATTCAATGTGGTCAACCCGCAACTATGAGTTTGATAACCAGTACAGGTCACCGCCAATTGTGAAACTGGGCCCTAGACTGCATATTTTGCAACCAAAAATGCGTCATCTATTATTGTTATGAACATAACTTTATTTTACTGAAAAGTGGTCTAAATTTTGAATTGAGCATTAATTTGTGAAGGTCTGTAAATAACTTTCATACGTTCCCAAAAACAGCTATTTTACGGACTCATTCAAGTCCGTAAAATGCTTCTTTTTAGGATTTTTTTTTCTTTCTGGATGCACCTTAATGATTTCAAAAATTAAGGAAAATATGCAAATTTTAGCGTTCTGTAGAATTCTGAATAGCGTATGACAAAAAATAGTGTTTGTCACACGTACCTAAACAAAGTTTTTCAGGACTCATCTGCTATTCCGGACTCGGCTAACGCCTTGTCCGGAAACAGCAATGATTCGTCCTGAAAAACTTCATTTTAGGTACTTGTGATAAAAATAACTATTTTTTTTAAACGTCACTCTTAATTTGCTGTTTGTTAGGTGCAAAATGGTGGGACGGAAAGGGCGACAGTTGAAAAACAAAACCTAAATTCCTCAGAATCAAAACCACCGGAGGTTCGGTCCTGAAAAACATCAAACTTAAACTGTCCTAAGCAGTGCGTCTCTATTAACAGCGCAAGTAACACTGTCTTGGATCACTTTACCATCGATGTTTCTGCTGGAGACAGTGGTGTAAGTTCAATTTTATTCTATTAAACAATAATGTATCAAATTCAATTTTATAGTCTAAGGGCCACAACACTGACGGTTTTGACGTATCCAGCTCTACAGGCATTACAGTCCAAAACAGTGTCGTCAAGAACCAAGACGATTGCGTAGCCGTTAATCAAGGATCCAACTACATCTTCCAGAATTTGACTTGCTCTGGTGGTCACGGTTTAAGTTTGTCCGTCGGTCAAACTTCAGCAAGCGGTTCCGCTAATATCGTTAAAAACGTTACATTCTCTGACTGTACCGTAACAAACTCAGATAACGGCATCCACGTAAAGTCTCACTCAGATGCTGGTGCCGGTTCAGTATCTGATGTCACTTATAAAAATATCAAATTGTCCGGTATAAGGAAATACGGAATTAGCGTACAAGAAGATTATGAGAAGGGCAATTCCACTGGAACGCCAAAAGCTAATATTCCAATCACCAAATTGACCCTGAGCAATGTTAAAGGTACTATGTCTGGAGGTATGGGTGTTTATATACTCTGTACGAGTGGAGGATGCAGTAACTGGCCTTGGTCCGGTGTTTCCATTACCAGCGGCAAAAAGAGCAACTATTGTACCTTTACACCTTCCGGATTTTCTTGTTAGATGAATAAAATATAAAATATACTTACTTGTGTATTATTTTTTTATTGGCTCCTTTAAATATCAGAGTTTTCCAAAATCCGTTCTAAAGTTGAACATTTTTAAACTTCTCAATCGGATAGACAAAAAAAAATATTTTATGTTATACCAGTATATTATTGTGTTTTTATACCCCAGATACCATTTACATAATTTATCACTTTATGGCCGTGCGGGCATAAAGTACACATTATGGCCCGCGCGGGCATTAGGACCCAAAAAACAGTTTTCGATTAACTTATTCTTTATTAACAAAAATAAAGAAGGGCCCCAACAAGGGCCCTGGAGACCCTCCTAGGTCTCCCGCCCCTGGACCTCGTCATTCAGTTCGAGGCCATGAAGACAGCCTATAGATTGCACGTCCTTGACGAAATGCGCTCCGGCGAAACCGGACACGCAAGAACTTGACTCAGGCCGCAGAGAAATGTCCTGTCCTTCTGAAGGGCAGCGATATTATACGACCGGAGCTTGTTCATAGCAAAGGCTTGGAGGCCCATATCACTGAAAGAAGTGAATGGCTGGGCGGCTCGAAGCCCAGTACTGAATAGTGGAGCTATCTGGTACACGGATGGCTCCAGAATGGATAACAGGTCGAGTGCAGGTTTTGCGGAGAGTCCCCCAAAATTAGTAAATCCTCCTCTTTAGGTGAACACGCTAATTAATATTAAGTACCTTATCTATATACATATATTACAGGTATATTATGGATTTGGAACTTGAAATTAGTTTGTGTGTGTGAAAGAGACATTTTCAGAAACCACCCAAAATTGGCAAATTTAATACCTGGGTCCTACCGGTCTGAGGTCCTACCTAGTTTTGTAAAATAATGTTAGCCATTTTTTAGGTGTAATAAGTATCTAATTTTAAGAACAAAAAATCTTTTTGTCGATAGATATTTTCGAAAGGATGTTTCTAAAACATTTCAAGACAATCATCCTAGGGATGTTAAATTAGAAACATCGCAGCGATGTACCATTTATGTCGGAAACATAAGGACCTTAATGGTACATAAATGGGATGTTTCTGGCAGATTGGTGTTATTAGGGTAGGACTTTGGTAGAACTCAGTGGGGCATGACGGGTCCACCACAGGACACCTATGTGCACTACAGTCGCGGCCACTCACTCTTTCATTCATTAATTCATACATTAATTATTCAAAAAGAACTGGTATGATATAAAATTTTGTATGCACCACGGGTACTTATAGATATATACTGGGCTTTCATTTCAAAACTTGCCACCCACGTTATCTGCGTATAGAGGTATATTTGCGGAAATCGCCGAAACACGTCAACAAATTTATTGAGGGGGAAGGCTTTTTACGTAAAACTGGACTTCGCTCCTTCAACCTCCTAAGCCCTAGGGCTGCCTCCCCAAAATTTTCAAATGAGACAGGTGGTCGAGTGATGGATTATTTTAAAGGGCTGTTTAATCTGTACATTTTGCCGTTCTATTTTTTGAATTTGACCTCAGTGTTACAAAATAACACCCATTTCAATGTTTAAAAATGCTTATTTATCCTTAAACACACCTGCTTTTTTACCTGCCTTTTCATTACAGTAACAGGTAAACAAGCAGGTGTGTTTAAGGATAAATAGGCATTTTTAAACATTGAAATGGGTGTTATCCTGCAACAGTGGGGTCAAATTTAAAAAAATAGGAAGGCAAAATGTACAGATTAAACAGCCCTGTGAAATGATCTATCACTTGATTCGTTGTCTCATTTGAAAATTTTGAGGTGGTAACCCTAGGCTTAGGGGGTTGGAGGGGCGAAGTCCAGTTTTCCGTAAAAAGCCTTCCCCCTCAATAAATTTGTTGACATGTTTGGGCGATTTCCGCAAATATGCCTTTTTACGCAGATAACGTGGGTGGCAAGTTTTGAAATGAAAGCCCTGTATATATACCATCGGGCGACATACGAACCCTCGGGCCCTCGGCTTTGTAAGACTATCGCCCTCAGGGCATAATCATCTACTTAGTACCCTTGATACATAAATAACTATTTTAGTGGGTCTGTTGATATTTTGGGAAGACATATGGGACACCGACGAAATAGTATCTTGGAAAATTTTGAAGAAAATTTCGACGCAACAGAATTTGAGAATTTTTATCATATCCGAATGCTAGCATCACAAATAAATGAGAAGAATATGGATAGTATAGATGAATTAGACCAACAAGATTTCAGGAACAATATAAGTACTGCCACAAATAATGCATCTCCAACTTCAAACTCACAATCAAGCCCAAAGAATACTTCAAATATTGTTTTTTTTACGTGTCTTAAACTACATGGGGTAGTTAAGAGAGAAAATAGTGAAGGGATAGATATGACCCTTGAAGGTGGCCTAAAGAAGAAATCCTACTTATAAGGATGCTCCGACTAGCCCACAAAATTCCGGTGTGTGGGGTGAATCTAAATAAAGGCGCCACCTGTTTTCAATCCTGCAGTAAGTCGGTTTCTGAACGAAAGATATTTCAAAACAGGAAACAGCCTATAGCATACAAAGAGTCAATTCAATACCAAAGAAAGGAAGGTTTAAAGGCGATCATATTTAACTGAAATCCCCTAGTATTGGAGAACTCGTGATCGCATTGCAATCTGAAAAGAACTGGAAATTCTTAATGTCAAAAATCAGCTGTAAAGGAAAAATAAAAGAAAATCACTGAATATTAAATTGTATGGTTTTGTTTATTTTGGTTGATTCGCTCCGTTCAGGATTTAACAATGATGTTTATTAGTTTAATAAGAATAGTTATTTATGTATCAAGGGTACTAAGTAGATGATTATGCCCTGAGGGCGACAGTCTTACAAAGCCGAGGGCCTCTGGTTCGAGGGTTCGTAAGTCGTCCGAGGGTATATACAGGGGTATATTTTAAGTGATACCACTATTGCTATATCCGAAACGGTAAGAGCTACAAGGTCGGTTAAATTAGAAAAAAGCTGCCTTTTTTGATGCATATTCAAGATTTGTTAACAGTGTTGCCAAATTTCCTTAGGTTTATGAAATACAGGGTGATCTCTAAGAAACGTCCAAAAATATGTCATCAATTATTTCGGAATCAATTGATTTTCAAGACACAATTTAAATTTGAAAGTTTTATAATTTTTTCCGCTCTACAACATAGCATCTTCAAATTTCAAATCCGACGTTTCGTGATCAAGCCACCATCATCAACTTCATTTTTTTAAATACGGACATGAATTTTTTATTGCATTTTTGGAAAGCGCCCTTCATTCTCTTTCTAAAAATGACATAAAAAATCCAGGTCCGTATTTAAAAAAATGTAGTTGATGATGGTAGCTCGATCACGAAACGTCCGATTCAAAATTTGAAGATGCCATGTTGTAGAGCAAAAAAAATTATAAAACTTTCAAATTTAAATGGTCTCTCAAATATCAATAGTTTTCGAAATAATTGATGAAATAATTTTGAGCGTTTTTTGGAAATCACCCTGTATTTCATGAACTAAAAGGAATTTGGCAACACTGTGAACAAATCTGGAATGGGCATCAAAAAAGGCAACTTTTTTCTAATTTAACCGACCTTGTAGTTCTTATCGTTTCGGATATAGCAATAGTGGTATCACTTAAAATATACACCCTGTATATCTATTAATACCCGTGATGCATACAAACTTTTATGTCATACCAGTTGGTTGTGAATAATAAATACCTAGGAAAAAAGTGTCACTTCGCAAATTGTCATCAGTGTGCAAACATCAATATTTTTTGACGCAAATAATATGTTTCTAAGCGTAAATTTATATTTTGTTAATAAAGAATAAGATAATTGAAAACTGTTTTTGCGTCTTTATGCCCGCGCGGGCCATAATGTGTACTTTATGCCCGCACGGGCATAAAGTAATGAATTATGTAGATGGTATCTAAGGTATAAAAACACAATAATGTATTGGTATGACATAAAAAAAAATAAGGTATTTTGGCATAATTATCCATACCCAATATATTCAGTATTAAAAATAACCTTGTATGGTAAGGGATGTTCTAGCAAGTAGGGGGGCAGTAAGGCCGACTGGAGTGGTTCAGTAGGTACATCTGGAGTACTGGTGGTTGATGGGCAACCGGCACTCGTGTATCGGAGGAAAACAAGGCCTCCAATAAGAGGAAGAATGAAAGTCAAAAGAGACTAAAGGAAAAAGGCCTAAAAAAAAGAGAACAAGATTTTCGCACATGGTAAGCAAATAGCAAATATAGTAAAGAAGTATCCTAAAAGAACTTTAACATTGTAAAACTTCTCCAAGAGAAGAATAGCAGAAAATGAAAACTTACCAAAATACTTTGGCCTTTTACAGACACAGCACACGAAGAAAAACGGCTAAATTTGAGACTTTAACCCTTTAAAACTCACAACCAAATCTGCCTATAGTGGCACGGTGATGGTATAATCTCAGCAACTCACAATTAGGAGTTAGGGCTCAAACTTATTTTTTGTTTTAGATCAGCAAAAATGCTTAGAGGAAATTCGCAACGTGCTCTTGAAAGCTGCCCTCTTTTTCTAACAAAAAAAAAACGATTTTTAATCGTTTCTCTTCCAGAAAAAAACCTTAAGGGATTTCTACAGAATCTATTGGGGAACACTGGTACTGCTATAAATGGAGGAAACGGTAATGGTATAAAGGAAAGTAGTACGGAAATCTGTAATAGAACCATCGGTACTATAAAGCAAGTGTAAGAATCTGTAATAATTAATATATAATATGAAATGTTTAAATAAATAACCACAATTATTGTTGGATGGTACTGAAAAATAGCGAAATGAAAACTGTATAGGTGAAATGACAACTTAGTAAAACATTTCTAGATGGTGGTAGGTACTTTTACTTGAGGGGGAAAAATAATCCCGTAACAAGCTATCATGCAAGTCTATACATACACGACCAGGCTACTAGATACATAGGCTTCAATGGGACCAGTTGACTTATACCCATTTCATTGCGGGATCGTCATGGTAGATCATTGTGCTTTTGCATTTGTACTTCTTGGCCTAAACCGGGTACAGGCTAATTCGTCTTATTACTCCCTAGGTGTCTAGTAAGTTGGTCCTATCTGTATAGGCTTTAAAGGCAATAATATCTAGTTGTCACTAAGTACAACTCTTCCTAAAATGATTCTGATGGTCAGCTGGCACGTCCAAAGAGAAAAAAAAAAAAAAAACTTTTGATTTTACATATTTATGATTATTTACAAACTTCTTGAGGATTCAGTCATTTTCTTCAGGCATTTATCGAAGAAAAACTCGATTAAGTAGGGATTTTACTTTCGTATTCATTCCTGAAAAGGTTTGTTGCAGCATTACCCATCAAACTAGTTATCCGTATCTGCCCCCTACAACCACCAACCCTGGAATCGATACAGCAGAGTATTTATACCGGTGCAGGAATGTAATCGACCTAGCACCGTATTCTTTGTGTTTAATAGACTCAATCATCCGTAGAGTTTCCCTCGTCTTACGGAAGATGACACGATTTTTCTGGCTCAGGAACTTTTCTCAGAATCGTTGGAGAGATCCTTCACCTTTCCCTAACGTGAGATAGCAGACCTGAGAGTTCGGTGGGTGTGCAAAATTGCACCAGCGAACCAGTTATCGAAACGTGGGTAGGGACTCGTTAATCCATACTTTGATATACAATAAGAAATATGACTCTAGTACCTACCTACTTTGACCAAATCGCTTGAATTATAGCGGCACTCTTCATTAAAAATCTCAATTGGTTTATTTGTTTGTGCCAAATTTCTTATGAGTTTTTTTATCATTGACGTAGGTAATAGTTGCATGAACACTCTTGGGAATTAGTTAATTGTTTACTTTGCCAAAAAAACACTTGATAGATAAAAAAAATAAATAAAAATTCAGTATAAATAGACGCACCTCTAATTCTCATCATAAAAACTTCAACCATGAAACTGTTCATTGTTACACTTCTGGCTTCAATAGCCGCCATCCAGGCTTCACCTTTAAACGCGAGCTGCACAGTTACCTCCTACTCTGGAGTAGCTGCAGCTCTCAAAAGTTGCAGCGCATTAGTAATCAAAGATTTAACCGTACCAGCTAAAGCCACGTTGGAACTAAATTTGAAGAGTGGAGCTTCTTTGACGTTCGCTGGTACTATCCGTTGGGATTATGCTCAATGGCAAGGACCTCTTATTGAAATTAAAGGCAACAAGGTTACAGTTAATGGTGCTGGAGCCACTTTGGATGGACAAGGTATGAATACTGGATTTAGATTAGTATTTTAGGATATTTTGTAGAAAGTTTGTTTTGAATATTATGAGTAGAGGTTATGATTATTCCTACCTAAACTGTTATTTTCATTTGTTCCAGCATTTTATGATCCAAAATTTTTGAAATCTATTGTTGGTTTGCTATACTCTATATTAGTTCATCCCTCTTTCATTTAAATTCATGACCAACATTTGCATATTGTTGTCAACCAAATTTTTAATAATTTTACTATCCAGACTGCGCATTTTGCAACCAGAAATGGGTCAACCCAACCCCATACTCCAATCTATGTATTGTTATGATCATAACATGTACTGAAAAGTGGTCTAAATTTGGAATTGAACATCAATTTGTGAAGGTCTGTAATAGTTATACGAAAATGATTTAAAAAACATTCTCAGTTTTCGCTTTGTAGATAAAACGTTGTACATCAGACCGTGCGCTTATGAACATGATTACAATAACGAGTGTAAACGATTAGAACGACGAGTTCGTAGACCGAGTCGTTCTAATCACACGAGTTTTGTAATTATGTTTGAACGCACGTGTGATGTACAACGTTGTATCTACAAAGCGACAACTGAGAATGTGTTTTCAATCATTTTCGTTTATTAGTAGTTTTATATCTTCATTTTACCTTTACAGGTTTAACTATTACATTTGTCATATCACAAAAACTAGTTGTGTAATAGATTCATAACCTAGTCTATAACACCACTATAGTTATGTTATGAGTCTCATGAAAGAACTCAAATACTAGAAAAATGGTTAAGTATATGAAAACGTCATAATCAAACGCTTGTAGATAAATAACTTTATACTTCACGACCTCGTCGTTCTAATCTTTCACACTCGTCATTGTAATCATGTTCATAAACGCACTTGTAATGTGAATAACTATATCATTTAAACGCCCCTCTTAATTTGCTGTTTGTTAGGTGCAAAATGGTGGGACGGAAAGGGCGACAGTGGAAAAACAAAACCTAAATTCCTCAGAATCAAAACCACCGGAGGTTCGGTCCTGAAAAACATCAAACTATTAAACTGTCCTAAGCAGTGCGTCTCTATTAACAGCGCAAGTAACACTGTCTTGGATCACTTTACCATCGATGTTTCTGCTGGAGACAGTGGTGTAAGTTCAATTTTATTCTATTAAACAATAATGTATCAAATTCAATTTTATAGTCTAAGGGCCACAACACTGACGGTTTTGACGTATCCAGCTCTACAGGCATTACAGTCCAAAACAGTGTCGTCAAGAACCAAGACGATTGCGTAGCCGTTAATCAAGGATCCAACTACATCTTCCAGAATTTGACTTGCTCTGGTGGTCACGGTTTAAGTTTGTCCGTCGGTCAAACTTCAGCAAGCGGTTCCGCTAATATCGTTAAAAACGTTACATTCTCTGACTGTACCGTAACAAACTCAGATAACGGCATCCACGTAAAGACTCACTCAGATGCTGGTGCCGGTTCAGTATCTGATGTCACTTATAAAAATATCAAATTGTCCGGTATAAGGAAATACGGAATTAGCGTACAAGAAGATTATGAGAAGGGCAATTCCACTGGAACGCCAAAAGCTAATATTCCAATCACCAAATTGACCCTGAGCAATGTTAAAGGTACTATGTCTGGAGGTATGGGTGTTTATATACTCTGTGCGAGTGGAGGATGCAGTAACTGGCCTTGGTCCGGTGTTTCCATTACCAGCGGCAAAAAGAGCAACTATTGTACCTTTACACCTTCCGGATTTTCTTGTTAGATGAATAAAATATAAAAAAATAAACTTGTGTATTATTTTGTTATTGGTTCCTTGGTTAAAAATCAGAGTTTTCCACAATCCGTTTTGTAGTTGAATATTTTAAACTTCTCAATCGGATAGCAACAAAAAAATATTTTAGTGGGTCTGTTGATATTTTGGAAAGACATATAGGACACCGGCAAAATAGTGTCTTGGAAAATTTCGAGAAAAATTTGGACGCAACAGAATTTGAGAATTTTTATCATACCCGAATGCTAACATCTCAAATAAATGGAAAGAATATGGATAGTAACGATGAATCAGACCAACAAGATTTCAGGAGCAATATAAGTACTGCAACAAATAATGAATCTCCAACTTCAAACTCACAATCAAGCCCAACAAAGAATACTTCAAATATTGATTTAAATGCATTGATTATGTCCATGAATAATTTGATGCAGCAGAATGCCACAACGCCAACCTATATTCCACCTCCATTACAAACATATACCTACAGTTAAACTTAATGACTCAAAATTCTGACCACAATCTTTACAAATGCGACAAAAAGGAATCACTGTTACTGAGAAGTGTCGGATTTTTCATAAAACACGTTCACTACCGAGCGTTAAAGGGCTGTCATTTGTTATAGACCAAGTATAATTCTTTAAAAGTATTATGAATATTTGAAAGATTTTTAGACAGATAGCATCAGTTTTGATGTTACTAAACAAAATTTCGCCATTTTGTTTTGAGGCCATTAAACTGGCCACTGGTTTGTGAGTGGTGCTTGACATTAGAATAGACCAACAGCCATTTTAATGGCCCTGAATATAATATAAGAAAATACATCCGATTCAATGAAATATATTACAGAAAAGTGTCAGTCTCAGTAACCCATATTTTACTTATTAGTACTTAATTCAGCAGGAATGCCGTCAGTACCAGTTGATTTATTGTTCTGTAGTTGTCTGATTGCCTTTTTAACCTCTTCTAATCTAGAAACCTTGCTCAGTTCTTGTTGTATTGGTTTCTGTGGAATTTCGTTGAAGATATCATCTGTAATTTGTTATTCTCTGTTGAGTAGTTCCTGAAAGTGTTCCTTTCAACGATAATTCATAAAGAAACTGTCTTTAAGCAGTCTTGTGCCATCTGTGGATCGTACGGGATTGAGTCCTTTACCCTGGAGTGGTTTGTCCGATGAAAGTATAAAAGAAAACGCACTACAATACACCTGGCATGTAACACAAAATACAGCAACGCTAAAGAACCAGAGGCCACTATAGTGGCTCTGAGTGTACAAGAAATATTGGGAATGGACCAAAGTAGCTAATAACCTCACCATTCACGATTCGCTTCAAAATTTTAGTAAATAAAAGAGTAGGAATATATGGCCAGATTAGTAGCCGCAGTTTACAACAGGAAACCGACCACTATAGTGGCCGGCGGTAGTCAATGTGTTAAGAAATTATCACCAACAAACTCAAGGACACTTCAGGCAGAATCCAGTACAGTTTGATTGAAAGAAGACCCACAATAATAACTGTTCTGGGAAATTTTGGGATTCCATTCAGAAATAATTGATCAACTTAGAAAACAACTGACTGTACAGATGACAGATTTGTTTATTCATAGGTGGGAACTGTTAAATTCTCAGATCAAAAAAGGTTCCTTCCACACTTCAGAAACCATCTAATGATACTTGAATTAGTTTTACGGCATTTGTGACGAGAATTAGAGGTGTTATAGGCTGGAAACCAACTCAGCCTCAGCATTGCAAAGATAAAATAAATTTAATATTAAACAAAATAATCAAATAATATTTTTTATGTCCGATTGACCAATAAAGTGCTATTTATAGAACAGTTTTGCGTCAATAAAGTAGCACTTTATTGTACTAGTAAAATAAAGTGCTACTTTATTTTACTAGTAAAATAAAGTGCTACTTTATTGCCTACCTGGACTGCCTGACAAGGTGAAACAGGTCCTAATAACCTGCCAAGGTTAAACAGGTCCTGACAACCTGCCAAGGTGAACCAGGTATATCTATGCGAATTTCACTTTTTTCATTAAAGTTTTTCAATTTTCAACAAAAACCAGTCGTATTCGTACATAAAATCATGTATATAACGCTTACATAAACAGGCTTTATTGACTCATTATTTAATAGCCTCGCTCGCAAGCTCGCTCGGCCATAAAATTATTCGTACAATAAAGCCTTACTTTATGTACTTGTTATATAAATAGCTATTATAATTTTTATTCATCTAGCAAGAAAATCCAGTGGGTTGGAAGTTACAACTGTTGTTCTTTTCGCTATCATTTTTAATGGAAACACCAGACCAAGACCAGGTACTGCATCCTCCACTTCCACAAAGTACGTAAACACTTATACCCTTAGCGCCAGTCTTAGAACCAGTGATGGAGTTCATAGATAGTTTGCTGATTGGAATGTTGCCTTTCGGTTTTCCAGAGGAATGACCTTTTTCGTAGTCCTCTTGTACGTTGATGCCATACTTCCTGATGCCAGACAATTTGATATTTTTGTAAGTGACGTCGGACACAGAACCGGTACCAGCGTCTGAGTGGGTCTTGACATGGATACCATTATCTGAGTTCATTACGGTACAGTCAGAAAACACTACTTTTTTAACGGTGTTCGGGGAACCGCTTGCTGAACTTTGACCGACGGACAAACTCAATCCGTCACCACCAGAGCAAGTCAAGTTGCGGAAAATGAAGTTGTTTCCTTGATTTACGGCCACGCAATCGTCTTGGTTCTTGACTATACTGTTTTGGACCGTGATGCCTGAAGAGCTGGATACGTCGAAACCGTCAGTGTTGTGACCCAAAGCCTGTAGTCAATAATCGGTCATAAGAATTGGTGATTTATAATATAACGAAAATGAACTTACGCCTTTGTCTCCGGCAGAAACATCAATGTTGAAATTGTCCAAGACTGTGTCGCTTGCAGTGTTGATGGAGACACATTGCCTGGGACAATTCAAAAGTTTGATGTTTTTGACAGTCGATCCACCAGTGGTTTTTATTCTGAGAAATTTGGGTTTTACGGTTCCTTTGTCGCCCTTTCCATCCCAGTATTTTGGACCTAGAAACAAATAAAGAAAATCTATTGTGAGAGTATCCAAAGGAACGCAGATATTTTTTAAACCATCTCATTATTGTTAAAGTTCAGTGCAACTTCCACTCCTGTCTTCAATAGTTAAAAATATTTTTTAATTATTAAATATTAGTATAGTGATCTAGTTCTAATTGTCTTACCTTCTCCATCCAAAGTGGCTCCAGCACCATTAACTGTAACCTTGCTGCCTTTAATTTCAATCAGAGGTCCTGCTCATTCAGCAAAAGCGAAACGGATAGTACCAGCGAACGTCAAAGAAGCACCACTTTTCAAATTCAGTTCCAGAGTAGTTTTAGCTGGGACAGTTATATCTTTCAGTATCAATGCGGTGCAGCTTTGTAAAGCTGCAGCTACTCCGAAGTAGGAGGTGACAGTGCAGCTCGCATTTAAAGGCGAAGCCTGAATTGTCGCTACAGTAGCCAAAACTGTGATAATGAATAGTTTCATTGTTCTAGTGTTTATGTCTTATGGAGCTAGGAAAGCATTTATATATACTAGTTTTTATCAGTGTCGGACTGGGGGTCATTTGGCCCACCGGGCAAATGATGAAGTGGCCCACCCAACCCAAACCCTATTCAATAAAAGCATTTTGGTAATAATTTGTTAAATCTGGTACGTAGTTATACAGGGTGTCCCAGCCGAGAGTGACCCATTTTGAATGCTTATAACTTTTAAACCAGGTGAGCTAGCTACCTGCGGTTTGTGCCATTCGATTTCTCCTGGTCTAAAGTTTTTTCTAGTAGGTTTCAAAAAATTTTAAAACTTATACAGGGCGAGTAAAAAAAAATCCGTTTTTCAACACCGAAATTCTCCACTATTTTCAATGGAACGCCCTGTATATCGCAACGTCAAAAAATAGATTCATGTTTAAGGTATCTATGTACCGATAGACATCGTCCCTAAAACTGGAAGTTTTAGCCGTAAAAAATCAAATTCGAAATCTTGGTATTTTTGCAAACACCTCTCGAAGCACCTTTTTTCAAAGCTTCAACCTTATGTTTGCCTAATAAAAAGTTAATAACAACTGCATAAAACTATACAAAAAGCTGTAGGTTCCTATATGTATATGTTAGCCATTCTGTTCCAGGCATTTGTGGATCAATAAATGGTTGAATGAATTGTGTAACATTTCCTGGAAAATCGCTTCAATGACATTACAAATGTTCCACTTAAGATCTTTCAGGCTATTTTAGCAAAGTATTGCCGCATATTTCCTTGACATAACGCCAGAGAAAAGAGTCTAGAACTCTCAAGTCAAGAGAGAAAGGTGTCCATTCTATAGGCCAGCGGCCAGCTCTCCTTATCCGTCTTTCCCCAAATGTCATATCTAGTGATTCCCTTGCTATTAATGAATAATGAGGTGGGGCATCATCCTGCTGAAAATAGATATCATTCAAGATAACCTCCTGTCTCAACCATGGGAAAAAGAACATATCAGTGTATACAGTGTCTGTTATTGTTGGTTCATCAATGAAAATGGTCTGTATTTTTTTCTCAATAGAGATTGCACACCAAACTGTTATTGTTGGGGTATCTCTATTTAATGAGTTCCAGAGAAAATACTTTAGAACTCGTTAAATCTTGGAAAATGTATCCCAACTTAATTGATATCTAACTAGACAGTTACAAAATTGTTTGCCATAGTGATATCAAGTTCCTACAACATGAAGTTGCATGCGTTTGCAAAAACACCAAGATTTCGATTTTGATTTTTTTTCGGCTAAAACTTCAAGTTTTAGGGACGATGTCTATTGGTACATGGAAACCGTAAACATTAATCTTTTTTTTGACGTTGTGATATACAGGGTGTTCCATTAGAAATAGTGGAGAATTTCGATGTTGCAAAACGGATTTTTTTTTACTCGCCCTGTATAAGTTTCAAAAAAATTTGAAACCTACTGGAAAAAACTTTAGACCAATAGAAATCGAATGGCACAAACCGCAGGTAGCTAGCTCACCTGGTTTAAAAGTTATAAGCATTTAAAATGGGTCAATCTCGGCTGGGGCACCCTGTATTATAGGCATAAAAAAAATAGGTACCTTGGTACTTAAGGTTTTCTGCAGATACCTGCTTATATGTTTTCTTATTTACCTAAAATTTTAAGTCAGTTGTTGGCTGGATGCTGTAGCTTCTTCTAATCATTGTTTTCTCGCGATCTCTCTCTTTTCTGTACACGTTTTATACTCCTATGGGTGAATGTATTTATTGTAATTAGGCAATCCAATGATCTGTCCAAATGGCGTCTGGTTGGCAAACAATAACCAAAAACATATGCTTTTTTTTTGACTGGATTAACCCTAGTACTCATTACCGCGAAATTCGCTCTTTTTTGACATTGCTTCGACAATTTGACGTTTGATTCACGCATAAAACGTCAACTTGTCGAAGCAATGTCAAAAAACAGCCTATTTCGCTGTTATGAGTACTAGGCTTTATCAAATCTGACACTTTACCGACATCGTTGACAACCCGTATTCTAACCTCACAAAAATTTCAAAATGCCGACTGGTTGGCAAAAGTCACGTGGTTTGGATTCCCTAATTCTTATTTTATATTATGTTGATATATTGATGATTGTTTGAAATTTTTGCAAATAATCCATAACGACCTTAACCCTGAAAAATGAAAACCAAACACACTTTGAATTTTTCCTAAAATCTGTTTTTTTGTTAAAGATAATTCCCCAAGTCAAAAATTTAGTAACTATGTTGGCAACACAAGCCTTGTCTACATGAAAAATTTGAAAGCATTGACAATTTTACATTGTATTGCCAACCTAATGTCAGTTTGACTTTTATCTTAAAAAAAAAAAACGCACTTTAAAAAATCAACGCTGAACTGACAGATTTCAATGTAATTAAACCCCCCTTAATTGGTTGATTTCTAGTTCTGATGAGAGATTTACTGACTATGGCCGTGTTCGTTTTTGCCATCTTTTTCGTCGATTTGCTCCGAAATTTTGACAGGCACGTGATTTGTAAAGTGAAACTATCTGATCCAGTCACGTGCCTGTCAAAATTTCGAAGCAAATCGACGAAAAAGATGTGACGTCACTTTTTGCGCGCATTTTGAATAGACTCGTTTTATCAACTAATTAAATGTTTTTTTTTTTATTGATAACCTATTTCACTTATTTAAAGTACTCCTCAGCGTGTTTAAATCCAACATTCAAAAACGCGCGTGTTTTAAAGTTACCAATGACAACATCAACAACCAACAACCCGAGAAAGGTCTAAATGTCAACTTTTTAATTGTTGATTTGTCAGGAGTAGGTACTTGTAGATAACGTCAAATAAAATATAACAAGTGTCAACGAATTTAGCATTCTACAATTATTAGTAATTTTTGATTTGAACGTATACCAATAAAAAAAAATAGTGTAAAGTATTCGTGGATAACTGGTCTTTAAAACACACACACACACAAACTTAATATCCACTTATACTTTAATATACTATTTACTATTGAATAACAAATGGTGGATCAAATTATTGTTACATACTTTTATATTGTATCAGGCATTTTGAAAACCGAATAAAAAAGAAAGACCATAGAAAAGTGATTTATAAATTCTTAAATAGAACATTCACTGGATTCATCCCCTCCACTTTTTGTTTTAGTTCGTGACTACACCGCTGTGCGCCCATATCGCCGTTTCTCAACGTCCCCCTCATTTTTATTCTAATCTATTACTTCACTGATGAGTTAGCTATCTTTGTTTAATGAATAGAAAATGACAATGACCGACATAGAATTATGTATATAAAAACCAGTCATAAAAACGCAGGTGTCCATTTAACATCATAATGCATAATATGTCATCTTGTCATCTGAATTAATTTGTTGAGTGCATCGTCGTTGATTGTTTTGAATTCCAAGACTATGAAAGAAGTGATAAGTGCATCATCATAAGCAGCCGGTTTAAGAGTTGTTGCCGCAGTGTGTGACCAGGCAGCAAAAAATGAATCGGCCAAAAGCGAATTGCAGCCACAGACCAGGGAAATCTACATCAAAAACAACACAGAAACAGAAATTTTGGTTTTGTTGGCGATAAAACCTAGAAATAGTGTCACTGTATGATGCTCCATAGATGCTCGAGGGAATTATAAATAACTTGATCAAATATGATAGCCTTTTAACTGGAAAAATGGACATTTTCAAAAAGCAGATTGGAAAGTGTTACAGTCAGCTCATGAGTCAGATACGCCAAATCATCTATGAATAGATTATAGACTATTTTATTCATTAAGTGATTCTCACAAAAATATATGAAAATAAAATGTATAAAATTTTAGTTTATTAAGTTTTGAAGCATTGCCTCATTTTGAAATGTCAAACCAGTCATAAAACCATAAAAGATTCAAACGGCCCCCCAAATATTAGTTCAATGACTACACCGCTATGGCAGCACCGTCGGAAATGTCACTTGGCGACTACAACAGAAGTGAGCGTTATATCAAGCGTTATATCAAGAATATAAATCACTTTTCTATGGGCGGGACGGCCCCATTGACATTAGTATACTGTCAAATTTTCAAAAAATTTCTGCATACAGTTTTTAATATACAGGATGTCCCTAAAAGATACCGACAAACTTTAAGGGGTAGTAGGGGACATCAAAACAAGCATTTTTGTTTATATAAACATATGTCCGCAAATGAGCCATTTGGGCTGTAGAGCAAATAAACTTTTTGGTACCTAGTTTTATTCTTCGTAATAATTAAATCTCTGTTTACTTATTAATTTTGCTTTATTAACAAATAAATTATGGCTTACAATAATTGTTCAACTCGCGAACTCTTTGGAATATTCCGGGAATAGCTTCTACATGGGTATAACTCGCCAGTATCCTTGCTAACAGATCTTCCTCATTACGAATAGGTGTTTCGTAGACTAAGCTTTTTAGTCAATGACCCGACGGTGTAATCTTTGCATTGAAGTAAATGGTCAACATTTTGAGCAATTATTGTAAATCATAATTTATTTGATAATAAAGCAAAATTAATAAGAAAAACAGTGATTTAATTATTGCGAAGAATAAAAGTATCCAACAGTTTTTTTGCTCTACAGCCCAAATGGCTCATTTGAGGACATATGTTTATATAAACAAAAATGCTTGTTTTGATGTCCCCTACTACCCCTTAAAGTTTGTCGGTATCTTTTTGGGACACCCTGTATATATAATTATCGGTTTATAACGTTCTACGTCTTCCGATTACCGATCTCCAACCATCTCTGTCAATCCAGGCATCCTCTTCTAGGCCTCTGTGTCTCATTTCTTCGTCTACTCCGCTTCCCCAGCTCCTTCTCGCTCTGCCGCTGCCGCGTCTTCTTCTTCCCCCTGGCTTCCACTCAATTATTTGCTTGGGTATCCTTGTATCTGCCATTCTTTGTACATGTCCGAACCAAATTAGCTGTTTGTCCTTTATATCATCTACTATTGTGT